TCGATAGAAGTTGATGGGGATGAGATGCTTTCTGCTCCAGGCAATAGTTCCAAATCATATATTCGGAAACGTACGGGTGCCTCCATCCCGTCTATTGCTTTTGACGATTACGACCTCTCCTCCCGCATCTCTCACTCTCCCAACCCCCGATCTCGCACAACAGTGAATGAAGCTTTACCAACTCCTGCCAAAACCCCCTCCAAACGGAAACTTTCTTCTTCCGATCTTTCATCCGCCTCGCGTACATTGTTCCCCACGAAATCTTCGACACGCCCCAAGAAATCCACTCCCTTGTCGCTGGAGAGCTTTGAAGCTCCCGCTTCGAAGTCAATCCAAATCTACACAGATTCCCGTGACAAAATCCCAAAGTCAGTCACTGATATGGAAACTCCATTCAATGCCAAGGTCGAAGAGACAGTGTTCTCTGGTTCTGCCGAAGCACCCAAAGCTGGCAAGCGTGCTCGCAAACAGGACAAGACACACAATGGAAATTTGCGATTTGAGCAATACGATGAACATGATCAGTATGATCGCGATGATCTCACTGAGTAAGTTTATCGCACATTTTCCTCACCTCATTTCACTCGTCGCTAACACAATTTCACAGCTGTGATGATAATGAATTCACCGAGGATGATGCGATCGCCCGTGCTGGTGGTATGACAATGATCTTGTAAGTTATCGTCCCGTGGAATCATTCTGGGAAAAATCATTCATTAACATGACATCTTCCTCAGTCGAGGTAAAAAGGTCTTCAACAAGTTCGGAGAATCATCTGATGAGGGCGACGATTTGGGCTTGTTCGCTGCGCGTCCTGATCTGTTGCAAGATGCCGATCTTAGCGGCGTGAAGTCTCTAACACGCTCTTCTATCCGACCTCGTCGCCTCTTTGCCGAGGCTGCACCAAAGCCCCATGCAGCTCCCCAGATTCCGACCGAGGAAGAAGCCACAGATGACGAGTGCCATGCTGAGGCTGAGGTCGTACACAAGGATTCCAAATCTCCCTACACTCCACAGTCTCCAGAATTTCCTCGGGCCCCCGGCGGTACCCGCAACCTCCGTTCAGCTGCTCGCTACGGTGGCGAGCTTGATGTGACACCAACAGCCACAGCCATCATCTCTGACAACAAACGCAAGCGTGCTAGCCCATTCGATCATTGGCTACGACAAAAACCCACACCTGATGAGACTGGGTCTCAAGGTTCTTCTCCTACAAAGCGTGAGCTGCGCTCTGGCAGCCCGAGTGCTCCTGCTCCTAAGAAGACTCGAAGCACTCGTGCAGTCGCCGAGTCTCAGTCTGCTTGAATGTCTTCGTCGCTGATTAAATCCATATCATCTTCTGTTTCAGAAAGCCAGCATATCCAACATATGATGCATTGACTGAGCGGTGTCTTTTTCTTCTTCCATTCACTGCATTCTTCCTACTACTGAGAGACTTCATTTTACTCTTCTCACTCGGAACCATGATTACAACAATTATTGCAGCACAGCGATTTGCTGCAGATACTCATGGCTTTGCTTCTTTTGCTTTGCTTTTTTCACGCTTTTTTCTTCGGTCCTACTTTGCGGTTCGATTTGCTTCTATCTATAATGATTCATGTTCGCTTCTTTCTTATTTTTTTTGTTCCCCTGGCACGAGCGTTGTGGCGTGGGAAAATGGAATACCAGGTATCATGTGCTTCTGGAGCTTTCTGGGATGACAGGGTGTGAGGCGTTTGGGCTCATAGTGGTTCGTTTTTTTGTCACTCTTTTTGTGGTTACTTTAGCGTTGCTCTCTTTCTGTTGGTCTTATTGTCCTTGTTGAAGGAGATGGTTCCACGGCCAATGGATTGGTTGAAGTAACTACTATTTCAAATTTAAATGAACCCTTTCATGTGGTCTTTCACTACTACTACACGAGTACTAATATCTCTGGCGGCTTTGTTCATATCATTCTCTCTGCATGTAAATAGTAGTACATATCAAACTTGAATGTTAGAAGTAATTGGCTTCAAGTTCAGAAACTTTGAAATGCTGTCCAACAGGTTCGACTCTTTGGAATGATTTGCCGTATGGGACGAAAGAGGCTCTTTTATTTCGTGACACGTTAGGGTAGGACAAAGCGGATTGAAAACGGGTTTTTCTTATTATACAGCTTTTTCCGGTATCAAATGATATCCAGTTCATCATCGTCATCATCTGATAGAACCCGTCTACCCCCCCTGGGCTGCTTCGGGTCCAGCTCCTAAGCTTTCTCGCCCAGCCTCTCTGATCCCCTTCGATGTGATGAACCGAGTTTTCTTGACGCCACTTCCATGTGGTTTGCCATGGGCACGTTTCTGGGGGCTCAACCGAACACTCTTTGCCATGCCCAGGGTAGATAGATTGAAACCATGATCTGCAGGCTGAGCCTTTGGTGTGCTAGGCGTCTCCCCGCCTTGAGGAGTGTCGTTACCAGTTCGGGTTCGAAGATAATCTGCACCAGGGCCAGCACGAGTGGTGACAAGCCTGCGTGTTATGTCAAGTTCACGCTGCTGAGTGGCCAAGCGTCGCCGCATTCGTTGTTCCTTGCTCTCCTGGCCACGCCCTATCATCCCTGAAGCAAGGAATGGGTCATCATGGGCGTCAATCAGAGCCGCTGCAGATCCGTTCGCAGCACCATGATGGTATGATGTGCGACTGCCGCGATTGGCAGCTGGTGCCACGTAGTAGAGTGACTGAGATCCTCCATCATACTGGGCGCCGGGATTTTTCAAGTCTTTCGTGGAGCCAGTATCTCGACGCCAGTTGTTAGGGTTCTTACTGCGATTATCCACCGCGTCTATGATCCGTGAGCCAGATCGACCGCCGGGGCCATACCCCGTGTTGGAGTTGACTCCCATGCGCTTGCCCTGAGTCCGCCGTACTTGAATGTCAACGTGAAATTCACAAAACTCGGTTTTCCGCGCGTCCAGCCAGGATGAGCAATTTTTACCATCCTTCCGTACGGCCTTGCAGTAGCCAATGTCTCGAGCGTAACCAATCTCCAAGACTTTATCGTCTGAAGAATTCAAAGATAAACTGAATCGGTTTGTATCCAATTTATGCTTGGGTGGAGGCATTATCGTAGGGTTCAGAATTGCAACGAGAGTTCCCTCCGACATTTTGTAGTAGCGAGTATATGCGGTTTCAAAAAGAAACACGTCGATAGTCCATTTCAGATCGGTCAGAGTCAAGACCAGATATTTATCGGTATTATTTCGTCCCTCGTCGTAGGAATCCACCTCCTTCTTGGTGCTATTTGCCGGGGTCTTGACCTGCCTCGGGTCAGACTTCGATGCAAGTATCCCAAACACAACAAAGTCCGTATCAATTTCCTCGGGGAGCTCGAAGGATGGTGCCTTGACTATCTTGAGTAGATCGGGTATCCGAAGAACCTTTTTGTCGCTCAGGTTGCGGCTCAAAAAAGAATGAGGAAGAATGCGGTTTGTCAGGTGCATGCCGGAGTAAGATTCGAATTTAGAAGAGTCCGGCTGGTTGGTAGCTTCTCCAGCACTTTGCTCGTCTTGGCTGGAATCCTTGTGTGTTGGACTCCTTCCTGATTGAGTAAAATGATGGCGGACGTTGGATGGCTTTTTGTTTGAGCCGGAGGGATCTTTCAGATTGGGAGCTGTTTGACTTCGTTTTACACCTCCGGGTTTCGCAAGAGTCTGCATGATTTCCTCCCGACTAAAATGGTGCACTTCTGGCTGCCGATGTGTAGATTGTGCAGGCGGTGGCATTTCATTCGCAGCCGCAGTCTTGAATGCTTCAACCTCAGCTTCATCCAGTTGGAATGCTGAACTTCGGTTTGCCTGGATTCTCTCTGCTCGCTCTGCTCGCTCTAGGCGAGACTTCTCCGTGGCCCGACCTTCCGCCATGCGCTCACTGAAACTTTTTATTCTGCTTATCCCTCCACCCCCAGGCGACGTCTGTGGCCTGGGCGAGTAAACATCGCCAGGACGGGACATTGCGCCACTTCTTGTTCCGAGTTGGCTCGTTGGCCGTGGGGGTCGCTTCAGTGACACATCATTTGCCTTCCAGCCTTTGTCGATGCCCATCTGATACCTTCGTGGAGACCAAGGATCTGGCGCGGGAGCTTCTCGCTTCTGAGGCGACGCGGGAACCTGAACCTCATCGGTACGTGCTTTCTGTTTTGTATTTTGAGGGCTTCTTAGCTCGGAAAAATAGGACAGGGTCCGTGACGATGAAGCAAGCGCAGAGGCAGGTCGAGTGCGCCTACTCTCCCCCTCTTCGATGTAAGAAGTCGCACTATCGGATCGGCCTCGGCTCTTCTGCAGTTGCTTTAGCTTGAGACGAGCCTGGATTTCAGCCAGTCGCAGTTGCAGGGTCTCTTCGTCTTCCTCTCCCTCATCTTCGTCTTCGCCTTCATCCAGGATTTGACTAGCTTTTGATCGGAAATTAGGAGTGGTGTTGGAACGTTTCAAGGGAGACGGCTGGAGTTCTCGGCGGTGTTGCATGTCCTGGTACTTCCTTCGGCCCCCAGGCGAGCTGAGGAGGGCGTCGCGGGGCGACTTGGGCGGCCACGCGCTGTCAACCACTGAATGAAAGAAGAGACCATTTAGCAGACCATTCTCCTCCTCCAGTTGTCAAGAAAGACTCACTTTTGTGTCGAGACTCGGGTATCTTTATAGGAAGCGATCACCACGGAGCGTCATTCCCCCGCTGCTCTTTGCCGTTTCAACGGCCGCGCAAATTAAAGATATAAGTGGTGAAAAGCAGTCGTAAATATTTAGCTCTGGTAGTCCGTAGGGGTGTAGAAAACCCTGAAAGGCACAATTGTGAAACCAACCAGGATTGACAAGAAGGGCGACTTTGCGAATGTGAGGGATCACCCTGCATGGCAGCCCGCACATGATTCGATTCGATCCGCGCGCGTCGGGGCGCGTCTCGCGGTTTCCCTTTTTAATTTAACCCTCTGACGCCGCATCTCTCTATGTTTCCCCCCCCCCCCCCGTGAATCCCTCTATTCTCCCCACAAAATGCCTCGTACAAGAGCATCTGCACCTGCAAACGAGACTGAAGAGATCTCTGAGGTCGAGCAGAAGCAGAAATTGACCCCTGCTGGAAAGCCCAGCAAGACTTTCATCCTGCCATCCTCAACCAGTGCTAATGCGCGCTTGCTCTCCCTTCCTAATCCTCAGTCGGGCGAGCTAACTCGTTACTTCTTCTGTCCGGAGCGCGGTATCTACGAGTTTACCGTGATCGCCTCGCCTACTACAGCGCCTCGCAGCATTCTAATCACCCCTCGCACGCGTCAAACGACGACCGCGTCGCCAGACGAAGAAACCAATACCCAGACAACTTCAATTGCGAAGAAGGCCGAACTCCTGGTGGCAACTCCAATTGATTCAATCTTCTTTTTGATTGCTCTCTTCAATGCCACCTCTAAATCGGGTCAATCATTATTCCAGCCACTGGACGATATCATCGATTCAAACGACGACCTACCACAACATCTCCGCAATGTTCTCTACGATGACACCTTCCGCAGCACCCTTTTGAAACGCGCGGAAGCAATTTGCGATACTGTGGAAGCTGGGGATGAGAAGATGCTACGCTTCAGCGAAGCAAAGCTACTCAATGAATTGGTCGCAAAGGCAGATCGTTTGGCGACTGAAGGGCTGCCTGCCAGTTTGGAAGAGCGGTTCGTTCGCCAGCCATTGGCCCCGCCACTCATGTCGGTCAAGCGAGAGGATGCCCTCACCGGTCAGGTACATGTCAATGGAGATGCAAGCTGCAAATCAGAGGAACAGGACTCCCCATCAACAGCGGCCACATCTGCAACACCTTCCGTGTCAACGCCAGCAGGCGAATCTACACCAGCTCCCCAGCCACCCACGGACAACTCTACCTCGGACAAGATCGTTCACTTGCAACGAGTCTCCACTGCTTTGACGTTCATGAAAGATTCATATCTGCCAGCCACCCTCTGCTCTCGAATTGACGAGATGCTCGCGTCCCCAGAGAGCCCTCTGGATTTCAAGCCCCTGACGGATCGCATTAGGGAAATCGCTGCGCTCCGCGCTGAAGCCCTCGCGTCGCGTACACTGACCGACTTCAGTCGCAAGCGCGGTCTGGATGACGAGGAAGTGGAGTCTCGCGCGGAGAAGAAACGCAAGAAGGAAGATGAAGATAAAAAGGCCAAGGCTTTAGAGTCTCGTGGCGTTCGCGATCTGAAGAAGGTCAACACGACCGGCATGAAGAAGATGAGCGACTTTTTTGGGAAGGCCGCTCCTAAGAAGAAGACCTGATTATCGAATTGTGATCGGCAATCCATCCCCAACATCACTGTATTATGCAGTGAACAAGCGCCGCGTCTGTGAAGACGCAAGCACGTTTTAAAACTGCGGTATCTAGCGCTTCTGAAGTCTCGGTCATCACAACGTCTCCAATTTCCGAAGCTTTCCAGGCGTACCTTGCAGTAACCCCTTGCAGGGTCAACGGCAGAACGGTGCCTCTTCTTGGCAGTTTTAGGTCTGCGCCGAGGTATGTGCATGCGCATTGGATTGTAAGCGACATCGGAGCTTGCATAACCCGAATATAATTGTCAACAACTGCACATTCACTGTCAAATAATTCACGAAGCGTGCAACAGGGCACTAAGAAAGGATCTAGGCTTGAAATAGGTTTAGATTTTCTATAATCTGCAGACCAACGAAAGTAGGCTGGAAATATCTTATTCAATTTAAAGAGCAACCCCATCAATAGCAGCGCCAGCGATCCTGAAACGAAACCACCATTATTAGTCTTGGAGCTCAAAGTAATGAGCCGCCTACGGGGCAGAGGGAGAGGAGAAAACATACACAAACGAGCCATTGGAAGGCTTGCTGATAACCATAGCCTGGTCCAGCTTCTCGGCGCTGATGTCGGGGAACTTCTTCAGGTAATACTCGTTGCGCAGGGCAGTCGTCACTGCCTCGACCTTGCCCTGGGGCAGCATGTGTACGGTGCAACCACCCCAGCCCGCACCAGTCAAACGACTACCCCATGTGCCCGCACGGCGCGCGATAGCACAGATATCATCCACCTCGGGAGCACTGCACTCATATGAAGCAAAGCAAGACTCTTGAGACTCATTCAGAAGTTGACCAAGATAGTGAATGCGCTTCTCATCCAGCTTGGACGCATTGGCAAGACAAGCCTTGAAATCCAATACCCGGCGCGCCTCCTTGAAGCAGTGCAGCGCACGCTGGCGCAGTTTGAACCGATCAGCCTGGACAGGGAATGCGGAGAGGAACTTGGACTCCAGCTCTGAGACTGTGATGCCGAGGAGCTGGGCCATCTCCTCGCGTGTGTAGCCCTCCTCCTTGGTGAAGAGGTCCTGGGTGGCTTGGATAACGGAGTCAATCTGGTACTCGAGAGGGTCGCCCAGGCGGCCTTCCTTGGTCATTAGTTGGTTTTGAAAGTTTCGCAGACTGTAGCCGAGCGAGCTGTTGTCCTTGGGGAGGGTGAGGCCGAAGTTCTTAGCCAGGATCACGGCGGCGAGGGTGCACTCTGCGACACGCAGGTTGTAGTGGCGGGGGGCAGTTTCGGCCTTGTTAGAGGTAACAAAGCTCTGAGCCATAAGGAAGGTGATTTCATCGTCGGCGGTGGGAATGGGGACATGCTCGGCCTTGAAGACGGGGTAGAATTGGGTGTAGAGGAGGTATCCGCGCTTGGAGAAGATGGAGGCAGCTTGGTCCATGCTGGAGAAATTCATTTGGTTAGCATTTTACTTGTCAGTTGTCCAATTCTCCGATTTTTGGAGAATCAAAATAGAAGTCAAGTATACTTACCCACCAGAGTACACGCCGACTGCGCGCTCCGAAACAACGGCCAGATCCAATAGGTCCTGCTTGGATACATTGTGATTATTGGCCTTCATAACGGCCAGCGCACTGGCGCACACGAACGCGGCACTACTAGAAATACCACCGCCGGGGGGAACGTTTCCGTCGACCAGGATCTCCATGCTGGCGGGGATGAGGGAGCCATCGGGCTTCTCTTTGCGCAGGAACTTCAAGGAGCCCAGCAGGCCGGCCTTGAAGTAGTTGATCCACTCATGCTTCTTGGGGTCGATCTCGATATCGGTATCGTGAGGCACAGAGAATTCACGCGTGGGGAATTTTTCCGGGTTCACATTGGCAATCTTGATGGTGGTGCCGGAGGCGGCAGCGGGGGTGACCTTGACGGCCATAATCACGTCAACACTGACAGCGGTAGGCAGGACATCGTAGAGAGAGTAGTCAATGTGCTCGCCGATGATGTTCACACGACCGGGACTGCGAGCGACGAAATCGGGACGGTGGTTATATTGTTTGTTGAATTGCTGAATGAGAGCAGACCAGCGCTGCTGGTGCTCCGGCGCAACCAAGTTAACGGAGGCATCGTCAGTGGCATAAACCTCCGCGATGGACTCGGTTTGTGGGACCAGCTCCGGGGATGACATGGCGGGTAGATATTTTGCTTTCTAGGGGGATATGTAAGAAAGATGAAAAGAAAAGGAAAAGGAAAAGGAAAGAAAAGGTGGAAAGCAAAGGTGCGTACGGAGTACTCCAGGAAAAAATGGCGGGGCGCATAACCCAAAGCGGCACAATGATGGTTGCCAAGCCCCGCGATGAAAGTCCCCGGAAAAATGCGTGTTGGTGGGGGAAGGTTTCATCCTCCCCCGGTGTCCCTTTCTAGTTGGCTCTTGCGGGGGGGGCGTGGTCAGTGCTGTTCTATTGTTCGATTTCAGGGAGATGTAAGTGGCGTGAAACGCTATGTCATACAATGTTATGCCGTACCTCGCACTGAGGAGTACTGGGCCCTGGCATTGCAACTTGAATATTCATGCTCCATAAAGGAACTTGAACCTGATAAAATCTAGCCCTAATCCATGGATACCTACTCATAGTGATAGAACTTGAAGTGTTAGTACTACTAGTATAAAAGAACAACCCAGTACCTAGCTAACTAGTCGCAGGACCTACCTTGAATGTAGTTGCACGGTCTGTAGCCGGGCCGAATGACTAGCCCCGGCTTTCCGTAGAAATCGGGATGGTAATCCACATCGCACTCGGGAAAAGAAATTATGGCCCGTCATGTCGGCTAAACACGATCGGCAGAAGCGGGCAATGGTTGACCCGGCTAACCTTCAAGTTGGAAACCAGGGTAGATCCACTAGGTTCAGGTTCATGTTGCATTGGGTTTCATTATATAAAGATACATACTAGAGGCCGCTACCACGGACTCTCCTTCCCAAACGGCTGATTGCCTACCCTAGGGTAGCTACACTATGTAGATCGCACTGCCTACATCGGACCATATCACGTGACAATATGATAACCACACGTGACTCGCCGAGGTCGGAGACGCGGAGGCAAAACGGACCAATCAGAAAGACCGAAATTTGAGTCAGAGCGGTCGGTTTTGGTTTAAGGCGATTTTCGTCCCCAGGAAGATTCACGGCAAGGGCAATTATCACTTCTCTACCTTCGCGGTACCTCTCTACTCACTCCCTGGGCTGTCGTTGGTCATGATGATGCCTCTCAGACCTTCAAATAGCGCCTGGCGCTCCATTCACCTCCAGAGGCAGCTGTTCTCTGCTCGTCGGCCTTTCTCGACCTCGTTCGTGGCCTCGGCTGCGTCGCCCCACCGCTCTTCTACTCAGAAACGGGCCCAAAGCACCGCGACCGCGACCTCGTAAGTCGGATATTTGGTGCTGAATCACCCCAGTGTTACTGACACCATTGACCTAGGGGATCCCGACCTGCTCCCAGCCCGGCCTTCAACCAAGAGCCTCACCGCAATGAGGTCTCTCCTCTGCAAACCCGCCAGCTCCCTGAGCTCGATGACTCGTAGGTGTTTCTCGATTCATCCATCCTGGTCTCGACATGCTACAGCACGACATCAATGCGGACCACCTCAATGAACCCGAGAGGCTAATGTTAAACAGTATGGTTGGCATGAGCGGTGGTGAAATCTTCCACGAAATGATGCTTCGCCTGGACGTTAAGCACGTCTGTAAGTCATCATATATTCCCTGCTTTGGGATACCAATGGATCCAATTGGCTCACCTTGCTATCACAGTCGGCTACCCTGGTGGTGCCATTCTTCCCGTCTTCGATGCCATCTATAACTCAAAACACTTCGACTTCATCCTCCCCAAGCACGAGCAGGGCGCCGGTCACATGGCACAGGGCTATGCCCGTGCTTCTGGCAAGCCTGGTGTTGTTCTTGTCACTTCCGGTCCCGGTGCTACCAACACAATTACTCCCATGCAGGATGCCATGTCTGATGGTACCCCCATGGTTGTCTTCTGTGGTCAGGTCGTCACCAGCGCCATCGGAACTGATGCCTTCCAGGAGGCCGATGTTATTGGTATCTCTCGCGCCTGTACCAAGTGGAACGTCATGGTCAAGTCCGTTGCAGAACTTCCCCGTCGTATCCAGGAGGCTTTCGAGATCGCTACTAGCGGCCGTCCTGGCCCCGTCCTGGTTGACCTTCCCAAGGATGTTACCGCCAGCATTCTCCGCAACCCGATCCCCATGCAAAGCACCATTCCTTCTCTCCCCAGTGCTGCTACCATGGCTGCCCGTGAGCTGAGCAAGAAGTCTCTTGATGCTGGCATTGCTCGCGTCGCCCGCCTGGTCAACGTCGCTAAGAAGCCCGTTCTCTACGTTGGTCAGGGTCTTCTTGCCCGCCCCGATGGCCCTCAGATCCTGAAGGAGCTTGCGGACAAGGTCCAGATCCCCGTCACTACTACCCTCCAGGGCCTTGGTGGATTTGACGAGCTGGACCCCAAGTCTCTGCATATGCTCGGTATGCACGGTTCTGCCTACGCTAACATGGCCATGCAGGAGGCCGATCTGATCATCGCCGTTGGTGCTCGTTTTGACGATCGTGTCACTGGTAGCATCCCCAAGTTTGCTCCCCAGGCTAAGCTGGCTGCCTCTGAGGGCCGTGGTGGTATTGTCCACTTCGAGATCATGCCCAAGAACATTAACAAGGTCGTCGAGGCTACCGAGGCTGTTGAGGGTGACTGCGCTGATAATCTTCGCCTCCTTCTGCCTCAGGTCAACGCTGTTCCTGAGCGTACTGAGTGGTTTGAGCAGATCAACGACTGGAAGGCTCGTTTCCCTCTGTCTCTGTACGAACGCCAGACCACCGATGGCCCCATCAAGCCCCAGGCCGTTATTGAGACCCTCAGCAACCTGACCGCCGACATTAAGGACAAGACCATCATCACCACTGGCGTTGGTCAGCACCAAATGTGGGCCGCTCAGCACT